CCCGCGGGCTCCATGACGCAGCCCGTGACATGCTCATGCAAGCGGATCCACATGCCCAGAAGGTGCCGCCCCGCTGCATAGCAAGGATCCGCTGATTGTACTAGTCCAGCTCGACTGGCAGACCTATTGACTCGAATGGATCCGCAAGCAGATCTGAGCGACACCTCCTCCCACCTCCCAGGAACGCTACAAGACCACTCGGCGGCACTTCCGCCCGCTTCCTCCCAGGGTCCAGGCCTACGGACTGCTGCGCTAGACGAAGACAAACACAATGATTATGAACTTCTGGCGCTCCGCGCGGATTTCTTGGATCTGCGCTGGACCCGCCCTCCTGGGCGGGCGAAACGCGCCAGGGACGGCGTCGGAGGCGCCGCCGGGGGTGCCCAGCGCGGATCCAAGAAATCCGCGCGGAACGCGTAAAGTTTATGTGGGGGGGAAAACAAACCTACCTCGCTTTTGACCACCCTACCAGACGACGCCAAACTACGGCCTGTAGTGGTCAGGCCGCTTGACGAGGAGGCGCGTGGTATGACTTGGTTTTGCCTGGAAGCGAAAGCGGGGTAGGTAATTCACGCTCTGATTATGATTATGCCGTTTCTTGTTCTTCGATGCACACCACTCGGTGGCACTTCCGCCCGCTTCCTCCCAAGGTCGGGGGCCGCGGACTGCTGCAGGGCAGGCTCGCGGCAGGCCCGGACCCGCGGGCGACATGCGAAGGTCAGGGCACCGTGCAGCTGGCTCCACGTGGGGGTGACACGAGTGGATCCACGAGAGAATCTGAGCGACGCCTCCTCACACCCCCCAGTGCGACTGCGGGCAGTAGTTATACCCACATCCAGTGCGTCTTGGAGTCTTGGGCTCTATTACCCAGGAGCCGTAGACGCACTGGATATGGATAAATTTCTGGCCCCAAGAGGCTTGATTTTATCCATATCCAGTGCGCCTGGGCGTTGCGGCACCTCTTCCCGAAAAGTCAAACCAAGACGCTCTGGATATGGATATAAGTACTGCCCGCAGTGACGGGGGCCACAGGCCGCTCGGTGGCACTTCCGCAGCGCGTTCCTCTCGGGGTCGGGGGCTTCACGCACTGCTGCACGGCAAGTTCGCGGCAGGCCCCGACCCGCGGAGTGCCTCCGCGGGCCGGGGCAGCATGCAGCTCCACATGGAGGGTGGCGACCAGCCGCCGCTTCTGCAGGCCAAACGGCCCTCCTCCTCCCTGCTCCCTCGCTCCTCCCTCCTCCCTCCCTCCCTCCCTCCCTCCCTCCCTTCTCCTCCTCCTCCTCCTCCTCCTCCTCCTCCTCCACCTTCTCCTCCTCCTCCTCCTCCTCCTCCTCCTCCTCCTCCTCGAGCATGTGGCGTTTTGGGAGCCTCCTGCATGAGGGCTCCTTCAGCGCCTCCGGGGGGAGCTCTTCGGCAGGGCGGCTCTCGGGAGCAATTCCGGGGGCCACGCTCGTGGCTGCATCCTCCGGGCGTCTCCTGGGAGCCTCTCTCTGGGCCTCTCTTGGGGCTGTTTTGGGGGCGCCTCTCGGGGGGGCGCCCCGGCGCTCTGGTGGGAGAGTCGAGCGTCAGCGTCCGAAGGGCACAGTAGGAGCTCAACCACAAGAAGCCTTCCACCAGGAACCCAGCCCTGAGACCACAGGACGTCCACTGATGCTTGGTGTGGGAACGTGACGCCTTCTATCGCAGGACCATGGAGACTCAAGAAGCCCAAGGCACCCTGGAGGCATGCAGGGTGTTTCTTGGCATGGGTTTCCACGGTACCGCAGGCGAGAACTTGGAATGGCAAATTTCATATGTTGTCCTGCGGGTTCTGTGAAAATCCTTGGCGCTGTCGTCGGCGACCTTGGGGGCCCCTCGGAAGCCTCTTGGCGCTCCATTGGGCGCTCGTGGGGGCCTCTTGAGCCGTCGGGAGGCTGCCTGTGATCCCGCGTCCCTCGGCCGACCCTGGGACGGCAGTGTGGGCGCCATCCTGGCTGAAGCCGCGCCGGGATCGCAGCGCCTGCAATTAGGGCCAAGCAAAGCAAGTGTAATGCGCAACAAAAACCTACTTGGACGGCTGCCAGACATAATGACCGCAAGCAGGTGTGAAACGCAGAGGGGCACAGAACACAAGGCGAAAGCTGAGGAGCCTACAGGGCGGCAGAGTCACCGCGCAGGCGCCCTCCTCGCTCTCCCCCCCGGTGGCCCCGCCTCGTGCAAGCCGAGCCTCGTGGCGACGGGGCTGAACGTGGGCTCGCTGACGCTGTCCTGGCGGCCGAGGCGGAGGGCGCGGGGATGATGTTGCCAGAACGTCGACCCCCCAAAGGATTCGGCCCATGCCCCGGGACCCGTGTTTCGTCCCGAGTCGTTCTGTTGACGGTCCAGGGGACCCGGTCCCAGACCCCGTCATGATGATTTCGAGTCGTCGACCCCCAAAGATCTCGACCCATCTCCCGGGGACCGGTTTTTCGTCGATATTTGCTTGACGGTCCCGGGAACCCGGCAAAAGCCCCCGGACGCCGAACATAGCGAAACACCTCCCGTCATTCCCAACCCTCCATATGTGGTTGGGCACTCGTTTTGAATAGAGCAGTGTGGTCGCCCCAGCCTCCTTCTGATCCTCCCCCCTCCTCCTCTCCAGTCTCCTGTGCTCCCCTCTCCTCTTCTCTCGTGCTGTCGGGCTGCGATCTGCGCAACTTTCGCCAGCGCAACTGTTGTCACTTTCGTGGGCTCCTGGGAGGCCCAGCGGAGGTGGGTCCCACGCGGACCACCTCGGGACCTCGCGGTGCCCTGGGGGCTGCGATCTGCGCAATTGTCGCCACTTTCGTGGGCTCCTGGGAGGCCCAGCGGAGGTGGGTCCCACGCGGACCACCTCGGGACCTCGCGGTGCCCTGGAGGCTTGCGATCTGCGCATCTGTCGCCACTTTCGTGGGCTCCTGGGAGGCCCAACGCAGGTGGGTCCCACGCGGACCACCTCGGGACCTCGCGGTGCCCTGGTGGACGCGATCTGCGCAACTGTCGCAATTTTCGCGGGCTCCTGGGAGGCCCAGCGGAGGTGGGTCCCACGCGGACCACCTCGGGACCTCGCGGTGCACTGGGGGCTTGCGATTTTCGCAACTGTCACCACTTTCGCGAACTCCTGGGAGGCCCAGCGGAAGTGGGTCCCACGCGGACCACCTCGGGACCTCGCGGTGCCCTGGGGGGCTGCGATCTGCGCAACTGTCACCACTTTCGTTGGCTCCTGGCAGGCCCAGCGGAGGTGGGTCCCACGCGGACCACCTCGGGACCTCGCCGTGCCCTGGGGGCTTGCGATCTGCGCAACTTTCGTGGGGAGGCCCAGCGGAGGTGGGTCCCACGCGGACCACCTCGGGACCTCGCGGTGCTCTGGGGGCTGCGATCGGCGCAACTGTCGCCACTTTCGTGGGCTCCTGGGAGGCCCAGCGGAGGTGGGTCCCACGCGGACCACATCGGAACCTCGCGCCGCCCCCTGGGGGGCTTGCGATCTGTGCAACTGTCGCCACTGTCGTGGGCCCCTGGGAGGCCCAGCGGAGGTGACTCCCACGCAGAACACCTCGGGACCTCGCGGTGCCCTGGGGGCTGCGATCTGCGCAACTGTTGTCACTTTCGTGGGCTCCTGGGAGGCCCAGCGGAGGTGGGTCCCACGCGGACCACCTCGGGACCTCGCGGTGCCCTGGGGGTTGCGATCTGCGCAAAGGTCGCCGCTTGCGTGGCTCCAGGGAGGCCAGCGGAGGTTGGTCTCTCCACGCGAAACCTCCTCGGGACCCTCGCGGCGCCCTGGGGCTGCGATCTGCCGCAAAGACTGTCGCCATTTTCGTGGGCTCCTGGGAGGCCCAGCGGAGGTGGGTCCCACGCTGGCCACCTCGGGACCTCGCGGTGCCCTGGGGGGCTGGGATCTGCGCAACTGTTGTCATTTTCGTGGGCTCCTGAGAGGCCCAGCGGAGGTGGGTCCCACGCGGACCACCTTGGGACCTCGCGGCGCCCCGGGGGCTTGCGATCTGCGCAACTGTCGCCACGTTCGTGGGCTCCTGGGGGGCCCAGCGGAGGTGGGTCCCACGCGGACCACCTCGGGACCTCGCGGTGCCCTGGGGGCTGCGATCTGCGCAACTGTCGCCACTCGTGGGCTGGGAGGCCCAGCGGAGGTGGGTCCCACGCGGACCACCTCGGGACCTCGCGCCGCCCCCTGGGGGGCTTGCGATTTGCGCAACTGTCGCCACTTTCGTGGGCGCCTGGGAGGCGCAGCAAAGGTACGTCCCACCTGGACCACCTTGGGATCTCGCCGCCCCCTGGGGGGCCTGCGATCTGCGGAACTGTCGCCACGTTCGTGGGCTCCTGGGAGGCCCAGCGGAGGTGGGTCCCACACGGACCACCTCGGGACCTCGCCGCCCCCTGGGGGGCTTGCGATCTGCGCAACTGTCGCCACTTTCGGGGGTCCTGGCAATGTAAATCTATCTATGCTTACCTAGTGCATTTGCTTATTTAGTAGTCGGCCTTTAAATTTAGCGTCGACGCTAAACTTTAGCGACGACCGTCGCTAAATCTGTAGCGACGCGCACATCTTAATGACGACGACGGCGCGATGTTGCCCCATGAGGAGGCGCACTTCTCCTGCAATGGGATATGTTACTCACGCGCGGAGGAGGCCGCGCCTCCTGCGGCGAGCCATATGCTGCATGTGCGAGCGGTCTTGGCGTGTGGAGGGGGCGTCGCCCCCTCCGGGACATCGCGTCGATCTCGCAGGGGCGGAGGTCGACCTCTTGTCATGGAGGCGAAGAACGAGGAGGCCGCGCCTCCTGCACGGGGGGAAGGGGGAGGAGGACTTGGGGCGGGGCGAGCATGCGGACGTGGAGGCCGCGCCTCCTAGGAGCGACGACGGCGGCGAATCCAACCTTCCCATCGCCGCCGCAGTCTGCCATCGAGAGGCCGCGGCAACGGTTCCCCCCCCACCTCGGCGCGGGGCCCCTCGCATGGCGTCGGGGCGTGCGAAAGTGGAGATCGCCCAGGAGGATTTGAACGGGATCATCCGCAAGTGGCAGGGCGAGATCCTGGGATTCCACTGCGCGGGCAGCTACGAGGACATCGCGCGCGAGAACGTGAACTTCCTGGCGAGCGTGAATGGGCGGACGGCGAGGTTGTCCGCGAAGGACCTCCCCCCGAAGGGTCTGAAGGAGGTGCTCGGGGAGGCGGACCCTGCGTCCTCGGCGTGGGCAAAAATGACGGTGGAGACGCTGTCGCGGTGCAGCAAGAGGATCGGCGACAAGGAGTTGCAGCGCCTCCCTCCCGCGGTGCAGACGGTGATCCACGCCAGAAGGCGGAAGACGTGGGCGGCGGACAGCACTCGCCCGCCTCGACGCCGCCGAGCTCAGCAAAGCTTCGCGGCAGCCCAGGGGCGGCGTCGGCCGCCTCGGGCGGCGCCGCGTCCAGCGTAGCGGACCAGGGCGCGGCGATCCTGGCCCTATACGGCGCGAGGGGCCCCCCGCGGAAGCGCAAGGGCGACGAGGGGGCGCGCGTCGTCCAGTCGCAGGAGACCGTGGCCAGCAGCCCGCCGAGCACGAGGAAGGCCCGCGCAGCGTTTGCGTTTCACTTTGTACCATACATGAGAGAGAGGGAGGTATGGAGAGACAGAGAGAAAGAGAAAACGAGAGAGAGAGAGAGAGAGTTTTAAAATCGAAGTTCGAAGTTCGAGAGAGAGAGAGAGAGAGTTCGATATGAAAACGCCCTCTCTCTCTGTCCCGCGCCCCCATCGCCCTCCCCCCCCCGCCGAGGCGCAAAAGGGGGCGAGCTACCAGGCCGAGAATGCGGCGACCTTCAAGGAGGACGAAGACTGGGTGGACTACAACACGATGGAACTCGCGAGGGCTCGGCACTGCCCCGAGGCGTGGCTCGGGCTCAAGGAAGAGCGGTTCCGTCTTCGCCAGGGCCCCAAGGGGTTCGCCGTGATCACCGTCGACGGTGAGGCGGTCGAGATGCTCGTGGCGAACGCCGCCCTGCAGGCCGCGGAGCATGGGGGCGGAGGGGAGGCAGCCAAGCCGCAGCAGGCTCACCCGAAGGGCGGGGCGAAGAAGCGGCCAGCGGCAGCGCGGAAGAGGCCGGCGGCAGCGGACGAGGAGGAGGACGAAGAGGAGGACGAGGACGAGGCCAAGGGGGTCCGCGCCCGCGACGACAGCGAGGACGGCGAAATGGAGAGCAGCCAGGAGACGGACGAGTCCGACCTGGAGGGCGCGGAGGGCGGCTCGAGCAAGCGGAGGCCGGCTGCGGCCGACAGGAAGCCTGCCGCGGCCGACGAGAAGCCTGCCGCGGCCGACAGGAGCCCGAGCTTGGAGGTGGAGGAGGACTCTGTGAAGGGGAAAGCCTGGGTTGTCATGTGGTACAAGGCAGGCGAGAAGAAGAAGGCGGCCGTGGCGATCCGCCAGGTGCACAAACCGCGCAGCCAGGTGTGCCAGTGGACAGCGGGTGACTACTCCGAGGAGCAGATGCGGGAGGTGGCAGCGGACATGGTCAGCAGGCTGTGCATGCGGGAGATCACGGAAGCGACTGTGAAAGCGCGAGGCGAGGAGTTTCTGCGCGACATGTTCTGACTGGCGGCGGCGGCGTGAGTAGCAGGAGGGAGCGGCGGCAGCGGAGGTGTGCATGTAGCGCAGCCAGCTCTGGGCCACAATCACGCAGCTGAAACAGGAGTTCGGAACCAGACCTTGCACCGTTCTCGACGCGGTCGGCGAAAAAGGAGGGGGGCGAAGAGCGAAGGCAAGGGGGGGGGAGGAGGCAACGCCTCCTGGACGAGAGCCCGCCCCCTGCACGCAGGGGAGGGGCGCGTTGATCGACAGGGGGGAGGCGACGCCTCCCGATGGAGGCTCCGCCTCCTGCTCGGCAACATCGCCCCCGACAGGAGGCTCCGCCTCCTGCTCGGCACCGCGTCCTATAGGAGGCGCCACCTCCTGGTTCATCTTGCTCCGAACGGCAGCTGGATGCATGTTTTCATTCGCCCGTCGCAGCCACGAGCGCCCCTCGCGGGGCGCCCTCGCGACGCTCGGGGCCGCGCGGCCCCTCCCAAGCAGGGCCTCTCGGCGGGGCCATGGCGGCCTCCTGGGCAGCGCTGCTGCTCGCGGCGCTGGCGCAGCAGGCGGAGGGGGAGGAGGAAAAGGGGAGGCAGAGGAGGAGGCCTCGCCTCCTGAAGGAGGAGGAAGAGGAGGAGGAGGAGGAGGAGGACGCACGTTTTTCTATACCCTTCCCCATCCCCCCTGCCCGCAGGCGGTGGCGATGTTTTGCTGCGCGGTGGGCCGCCCGCCGCGTCCTGGCGGGGTCGACGGTGGAGGTCCGCCTGGCGGCAAGGGCCCGTTCAAGGACGCGCTCCGGGACGGGCCCCCAGCTGCCGGCGAAGAGAAGGAGGAGGAGGACGACGGCATGATCCTCTTTGAGGGGGAGCCCGACGAGGAGCTGCAGTGGCTGCCTCAGGAGATGGGGAAGAGGGTGGCGCGCGCGCGCGCGCGTGTGGCTGAAAAACCGTGTGTGTGTGTGGTGGGGGGGGGGCAACGGTGCGTGCACTGCGGGCGCGATAAGTTCGTGCACCTGTGCTTGAGCCACCAGTGCCAGCGCCGCAACATGGTCAACCACAACACGCACATGGCGATTGTGGCGCGGCCGCAGGCGCGGAACCGCATGGCGAAGGGGGTGCGGCAGCGCGAGCTCCCGGGGATACAGAAGCAAAATGTATACTTTCGCGCGGAGGCAACGCCTCCGGCAAGACAAATATTAAAAGCATAAACAAAAGCACACACACAAACATCAATGCCCAGGTTCTTGCGCAAGAAGCGCGGGATGGAGGAGACGGTCGCTGCGGAGATGGAGGGCGCTGCAGCCCCTGCGCCGCGGAGGACGCGGCAGAAGCAGGGGGGAGACATTCGAAGTTCAAACTTCCGAGTTTGACGTTCGATGTTCAAAATTCGAAATTCGGAAGTCGAACTTCGAATTTCGAACTCGAGACGGAGATGGTACTTGAGGAAGCGCTGCCTCCTGCAGCATCCCCTCTCCGCCCAGGCGAGTTCCGAGGTGTTGGTGCACCGCCGCCGCCACCGCCCGATCGGAGGGCCGCCCTGGGCGCCGCCGCGCGGGCCGCGCCCGCCCCCAGGGCCGCCGCCGGCTCGGAAGGCCCCGGAAAAGGCCGCCCCTAGGCGTGCAGCGGCGGCCGCCGAGCCTGGGCCAGCAGGAGGCGGAGGCGACGCACCAGCAGGAGCAGGACCAGCAGGAGGCGGAGGCGACGCACCTGCAGGAGCTGCAGATGCTGCACCAGGAGCTCCTTCGAGAGCAACAGGAGACGGCGCAGCAGCAGCAGCCGCAGCCGCAGCACTGGCAGCAGCAGGAGATGCAGCAGCGCAGGCTGCACCAGCAGCAGCAGCTCCAGCAGCGCAGGACCTGGAAGGCCCGCAGCAGCAGCTCCGGCAGCAGCTCCAGCAACACCGGCAGTTCGGGGCAGCAGCATCAGCTCCAGCAGCAGACGCTGCAGCAGCAGCAGCAGCAGCAGCAGCGCCCAGCGCGGGCTGGAAGCAGCCAGCGCAGGCCGGCCTCTTCGGCTTCGATAGGCCTGCCTCCGAGGCGCCGACCCAGGCTGCGCCCCCGCGCATAGCCCTGGCGGCGACAAGCATGGCGCCGAGCGAAGCACAGCCGCCGAGCGCAGCGGGGCCGCCCTGGACGGGATGGTGGGCCACTCCGTCTTCAATAAGAGGTGACCTCCTTCAGAGCTTCCCGCCGCAGGTGCCGACTCACGCCACGATGGCTGCCTGTCAGGAAACGGCCGCGCAACAGCAGCAAGATCAACAGCAGACGGCCGCGCAGCAGCAACACGAGCAACAGCAGGCGGCCGCGCAGCAGCAGCAAGCGCAACAGCAGCAGCGCGCGCAGCAGGAACGCGCCGCCTGGGCTGCGCAGCAGCAGCAGGCGCACCAGCAGCAGGCGGCGGAGATGCAGCAGGCGGCGGAGATGGAGCAGCAGACGCAGCAGCCTGCAGCCGCAGCAGCAGCAACAGCACCTGGCGCCGACGCGGAGCAGCAACAGCCGCAGCAGCAGCAGCCGCATGAGCAACGGCAGCACCTGGACGCGCTGACCATCCTTCAGCAGCAGCAGAACCTGCTCCAGCAGCAGGCCGAGCAGATCGCTGTGAGCATCCAGTCGCTGCGCTCAAGGCTGGGGTTGCCGCCGAGCGAGCACATCTGAGGCGATTGGGCTTTCGAGGGGTTTTCCTTCCAGGGCGGCCCCGGGTCCAGGCGACAAAAGGTCCTGTTGGAATCGCCTCGTCGTGGGATTGCCTTGGAAGGTCGAACTCACGAACGCTCCGCGGGCGGCGGTTCGGCGCGCGGAGGACTCGGGGATGTGGAAGGCGAGGAGGGGGGGGTGGTAAGGGGGCGCCGCCTCCTCGAAGAGAAAGGCAGACTCTTTCCCTCCACCTTCCCCTCTCTCTCCATTCCACTTGGCTTACCACTTGTCCTTCCCCATCGCTCCTCCTCTGTTTCTGCCGCTTCTCCCTTCCATCCCTCTACTGGGGAGACGCGCGCCGCCGTGAGCGGCGTCCGCGGCGGCAACCTTCTGAGCCGCGCATTTGGCGTGGCCTTAGAAAACGCGATGGACACGCAAGCCGAAAACTTGTTATATATATATATATATATAGCACAAACAGATTTTTTTTAAAAAAGCGTCAACGTTGAAATATGTGCGATTTTAATGCAGATTACGCAGAGGTTTGTTTTAATAAACTGTCGTTTGTATAGGTTCGCATGTGTTTATATAGGTTGTTGTATTGTTTTGTAGTTTTGGAATTTGTATTTCTGTTGCATATTATTTTTGATGTTTGTAGTTTTAGGGTGCCCCAGGCGATTTTGTGATATTGCTGTGAAGGTGTTGTATTAAGGTTTGTATGTTTTATATGTGGGGTAATAGTGTATTTTCTGTTTCTTTATACTTTTGAGCTTACTCCAACATCAGCGCTGTGAGCAAATTGCGCTCGGCTTGCAAGGGCAAGCGGGGAAGGGGCTGCGAGGCGCAGAGGAGGCGAGGCCTCCTTTATTTCTTTACTGGAGGCAATGCCTCCTGCGCTGGAGGCTCAGCCTCCAGAAGATAAGATAAGGTTCAGCGTTCAACGAAACACAAGAGGAGCTTCGCGCTGGAAGTACCAGCGGAGAAAATTCTTCACATGCGTCGCTGTCTGACGCTTGCCGCAGCGCTCAGAAGTTCGGCGTCGCGACCACCTGGCGCCTGGGCAGGGGCGAAAAGAAGAGGGGCGGAGGGGCGCGGAGGAGGGAGGAGGTACCACATCTGCAGGCTCGGGTTCGAGTTCCACTGCTGGGGCGCCCACAAGTCCGCTTCGTACGTGTGGCGGCCGACCTGGGAGGAAGGGGGGAGGTGGGCATTAGGGCATAGGAAGGCAAAATCGAGAAAGGGGAAATCGGGCCGTGTAGTACGCCAACCGCCCCCCTTTCTTCCACGCAAGCTCCAGCGCCTGCGTCGGGCCATCGGGCATGGTGATCTACCCCATCCTGCTCCGGTTCCTCTGCGAGGGCGCGCGCAATTCAAACGGTTTCCCTTCCCCATCCCCTTCCTCGTTCTCCTCCTCTCCCCCGCGCTGGTGTCCTGGTGCGCCCAGTTTACCTGTGGCTGCGGGATCCCCTGCTTCTTGTTGCGCTCCTGGAACGGCGCAGCCGCGGCGTTTTGCGACGCCTGGCCGCGTGAGAACCCCGCCCAGCGCGCGCTCGCCTTCGACCCCATGGCTCGAAAAGGCGCCGCGGACTGCAAGAAAGATCGCGAACTAAGTTGAGGGGGCCGTCGGCGTTCGGACGGGGGGCAAGGGCAAGGCAGGAATAGGGGAGAGGGGGGATGGGGAGAGAGGGGGGTGGTTGGAGGATGGAGGAGGAAAAGGAGGCGACGCCTCCTGCATCGCACGGCCGCGGAGGGCAGGCGCTGGAGGCCGCGCCCCTTCTCCGCAGGAGGCCGCGCCTCCTCGTTTATGCCGTCCTTGGTTGGGTATTCGTTTTGAATAGAGGGGTGTGGTCGCGCCCTTGTCCTGCCCCCCCTGTGGTCGCCGTCCCTGGGGGGCTGCGATCTGCGAAACTGTCGCCACTTTCGGGGGCTGCTGGTGGATCCTGCGGAGTGAAGCGCCGCGCGGATCTGAGCACGACCTCGCCGTGCCGGGGGGGATTTGCGCAACTGCCGCCGCTTTCGAGGGCTGCTGGTGGGTCCTGCGGAGTGAGGCACCGCGCGGATCTGAGCAAGACCTCGCCGTGCCTGGGGGGCTGCGATCTGCGACACTGTCGCCACTTTCGAGGGCTGCCGGTGGGTCCTGCGGGGTGAGGCACCGCGCGGGTCTGAGCAAGACCTCGCCGTGCCTGGGGGGCTGCGATCTGCGAAACTGTCGCCATTTCCAAGGGCTGCTGGTGGGTCCTGAGGAGTGAGGCACCGCGCGGATCAGAGCAAGACCTCGCCGTGCGTGGGGGGCTGCGATCTGCGACGCTGTCGCCACTTTCGAGGGCTGCCGGTGGGTCCTGCGGGGTGAGGCACCGCGCGGGTCTGAGCAAGACCTCGCCGTGCCGGGGGG